AGTATGTAGCCCTGTCTATTGTTTGGCTGAGAGCTGACCTTCAGGGGTGGGTTCAGTTCCAGGCCTGAGGGTGGGTTAGCACTTTTTTCAATGAAATGGAATGGCATTCAAAATATATATATACCAGAAAGTACTGTTTCATGAAACTTGTTTCAATTATAGTTATATACGTATGATCGTACACACATATACATCCAAACATGTGCCCTGAGTCAATATGTAAAATGTTTATTTCTGCAGAGTATATTTAAAAACCATCCCCTTAGGCCTTATTATTACACATCCAGGCTCCTGGTCCCTCACTCTCATCTCAACCTCCTCATCTTCTAACTCATCCCAGCCCCCAACACCTGCCATTCCTTCCTTCCCCAGACCCTGCTCTAGCTATCCTAGTATCCTTCTCCAACGGCAACTGTATCACCCAATACTGCTCCCCAGCATCCATCTTCTTCGACTTCCTGCTGTACACTTTTCTAGTTCTGTTCTGGAGTACAGAAACTCTTGGAAGATCTACTGTTGACAGAAAAAAGCTTAGTGTAGAACAATTTGATGAGTGTGTTACCAATTGTGTGATTAAAAAAAATGGGGGAGGGGTACTAGGCTAGAGAGAGAGAGAGAAAAAAAAAAAAATGCAGTTGCTAGTATATAATAAACTATCCCTGGAAACCAAAAACCAAACCCACTGCCATTGAGTTAATTCTGACTCATAGCAACCCTACAGGACTGAGTAGAACTGCCCCATAGGGTTTCTAAGGCTACAGTCCTTATGGAAGCGGGCTGTCTCACCCTTCTCCTGTGGAGCAACTGATGGGTTTGAATCACTGACCTTTTGGTTAGCAGCTGAATGCTTTAACCACTAAGCTACCAGAGCTCCTTTATCTTTGGAAGGAGCCATAAGAAATAGATAACATTGTTTGCAAAGAACTGGGTGGCTAGGGGATGGGTAGAAGACTTTTCATTAAGTATCTGTTCTCTCTTTCTAACTTTGCACCATGTGAATGTATTAAAAAATAAAGTAAATAAAAAAATATCATAAAGTAGGCTAAATCCAAACAAACAAACAAAAAACTCTGTTAGGGAAGCTCACACAACTCACGTCACTCTGCCCTTTGCTGATGCCTCAAAAAAGTTTAATTAGCTTTTCTCTGACTTCTCAGAAGCTTCTTTTATCACAATGTTCAAAAACTTGTCCTTTGTTAACTGTCCCCTTAATGCACTGCCTGGCCTCCTGATGACTGAAACTGAAGTCACCCAGCCTCGCCCTCGTCCTACACACTGCTTCGCCTTCTTAAACCTCCCTGATCTCTCCAGTCAGACTGAGTGCAAGTACCCCAGGCTTCAATTTCTCTTATTAGTCCATAAAATGCATAGCAAATTGCTAGACATATAGTTGTATTCTGCATAGTGGCTAACAGCATGAGCTTGCATGCTAATCATGAGTCTGAATGTTAGCCCTATCAATTTCTAGCCACGTGACCCTGGGTAAATGACTCCCTCCGAGTCTCAGTTTCCTTATCTGTAAAATAAGACTAACAGTACCTAAACCTCATGGGGTTGTTGTAGGGAACAACTAAAAGAGCGCTTGGTGTACAAAAACACTCAGGAAACATGATCACACGATCTGTTACTATCCCACAGGCAGGACCCTGATTTGGTCCCTATGTTCACTTCTCACCCAGACAACTCAGGTAAGTACTGCTTAGTCTAACCCAACTCAAGATACCAGTCCCCTTTCCAGTGATCAGTTTAGGCACATGCAGGTGACCCAGTTCTGGTCAATGAGGAATAAGGAG